TATAACCCCTCCACCAAATGATACTCCAGTAAATAACCCCTTTCCAGACCCTAAATTAAAAAAGCCAAAGTCTTTAATCACAAACATAGGAACCATTAAAGTAACTGACGATATAAAAAATTCAGCTAGACGAATATATGAAGATACTTCAGTAAACCATTCAATATCTTATGAAACATTAGTAGATATACTGGAAAATGCTCATGATACTCCTGACCCAGTAAGCTTAATAAAAACGTATACAAATGATCTAGAAAACCTATTGAAACTTTTAAATCAACTACATGAGAATTTATCAAATAGGAAATCAAAAAATAGATGCACTAGACTTCGAAACAAAATACTTAAATCCATACAATCAGAAACTAACACCGAATCCGATAACGAAATTGTAAAAGATATATTATAATGGCTTTCTCAATTATCCAGTGGAACCTACGAGGATATTACACTCGCCTTGAGATATTACAACAAATGATTAAAAAACTTACTCCATCCATACTTTGTTTACAGGAAACTCATTTTAAAAATACTAAAGTTCATAATTTAAAACACTACACATGCACATATAAAAATAGAGAAAATGTAGACCATGCTAGTGGTGGCGTAGCAATTTACACTCATTCATCCATCGATGTAGACATTCTTCAAATCAATACACAACTTGAAGCGGTCGCAATTACTATCAAAGGGCCTGTAAAAATGAACATATGTAATATATACATTCCACCTACACAAAACCCAAGCAATAATGAAATCTCAGACTTGATTAAACAAATACCTTCACCTCGTCTAATAGTTGGAGACTTTAATGCACATAATTACATATGGGGATCAAAAATAATTACTCCATTAGGTCGTAGAATCGAAATAATGTTGGACAATTTTCAGTTAAACCTACTAAACGATGGAAGAAATACTCATTTTGACATTTCTACTGGTAAATCCTCTGCCATAGACCTTTCAATATGTGATCCAGCATTATCAGCTACCTTATCTTGGGATGTACTTTCTGATTTAAATGATAGTGACCATTTTCCGATTGTAATAACAAATCCTGACAGTATACAATACTCTTGTAATGTTGAAAAATGGAATATTAAAAATGCAAATTGGCAAGAGTATTATAATCTAGTTTTAAATGAAATGAATGCATTACATGAAATTTTACAATCAAATAATAATATTGATAGTCAAATTCAAGAGTTTTCCAATGTATTATTGAATGCTGCCGAAAAAGCCGTTGGTAAAATGAATCCTAAACAATTAAATTCGTCAGTCCCTTGGTGGAATTCTGAATGTCAAGAAGCTATTAAACTTTCAAAAACAGCATTAAATCGATTCAGGAAATATAATACACTTGAAAATAAATTAGAATTCAAACGACTAAAAGCACGAGCTAGATTTATAATTAAAAGAAGTAAACGTGAATCATGGAAAAAGTTTGTTTCAGAATTAAATTCATCTACACCAATTAATAAAGTATGGCAAATGGTACGAAAGATATCCGGGAAAAATACCCCAAACCACATTAACTTCTTAGAAGAAAAACAAAAAATATACACTTCCCCTCTAGACATAGCTAATATTCTAGCTAATAGTTTTGAAAGATTCTCAAGTGATAATGTTCTTCCTCCAGATTTTTTGACCAAAAAAGAGAAAGAGGAATCCAAAGGTATTGATATACCGCCTGATGACCTTTCTCCTTTAAATTATCCCATAACCATGGATGAATTAGAATACTCACTCAATAATACAAAAAACTCTTCTCCCGGTCCTGATAACATTCCTGCAATATTTCTTCAAAAACTTCCTTCATCTGCAAAGAAACACTTGCTGAATATCTATAATAATATATGGAGATATAGCAAGTTTCCAAAAATCTGGAGTTCATCTATTGTCATCCCTATTTATAAACAAAATCAACCAAAATCTCTGTCACATTCATATAGACCTATTTCTCTAACTTTTGTAATGTGTAAAGTTCTCGAGAAAATCATATCCAACAGATTAATGTGGTTTTTAGAAAATAATAAATTACTTGCCCCGGAACAAAGCGGATTCCGAAAAAGACCTTCAACACTGGATAATCTTATTAGTTTAGAGTCTGAGATTCATGAAGCAATGGCATGTGGACAAAATGTATCGCAATATTTTTTGACATAACAAGAGCATACGATACAGTTTGGCGACATGGTATTGTTCAAACACTTAGTCGATGGGGAATAAAAGGTAATATAGCACAATTCATAAAAAATTTCCTATCTCATCGAACTTTTAATGTACGAGTTAACGGTACTTTATCTAATACAAAAATTCAAAAAAAACGGAATTCCTCAAGGATCTAATTTCAGCGTCTCCCTATTTCTTATTGCAATAAATAATATTATCTCCACTTGTGACTTACCAGTAAAAGCTAGACTCTTTGCAGATGACTTAATCATTTTTGTTAAGGGGATAAATGATAAAACCCTTCAGACCCATCTACAGAAAGTGCTATGGAATCTCGAATTATGGACAAATTCTACAGGTCTTCAATTATCAACAACAAAATCAAAGGCTCTGCTATTTTCAAAAAAAAGAAGTTATATCACTCCAGAATTAAAACTATTTAATAAAGAAATAAAATATGTTGAGAAAATTAAATGTCTAGGCATGACATTTGACAACAGATTATCCTGGAACCACCACATTCATGATCTAAAAAGTACTTGTCAATCTGCACTTAACATTATAAAAACTGTTGCACACAACACGTGGGGAGCAGATAGTAAAACACTGACCCTTATGTACAAGTCATTGATCAGGTCCAAACTCGACTACGCTTGTATTATTTATGATTCAGCAAAACCATATATCATAAAACAACTCGATCGAATACAAAATAGTGCTTTGCGAACTATACTAGGTGCTTTTTATACTAGCCCTACTGAAAGTTTACACTGTGAAGCTGGAGAAGTCCCCCTGGAATTCCGAAGAAAACAACTTTCACTAACATATGCGGCATCAATGCAGGCAAATCCTATGAATCCTGTTAATCACTATGTAAATTCAGACCGTTTTAGGAATATCTTTAAAACTCATGCTAGGCTTGACCTTCCTTTTTATGAAAGGGTAAATAGATACCTCAATGAACTTGAATTCAAATTTCAAGATATCTATTGTATACCCGATATTAACACTGTTCCCCCTTGGACTGTTCCCATCCCATCTATCAATACCAAACTCTCCATATATAAAAAAGCAGATAACCATCCCAAAGCATTATATCAATATGTCCTCCAAGAATTCAAGACATACAGTAACCATACACTTATATATACCGATGCCTCTAAAACTATAGATGGAGTGGGAGCAGCATTTATGTCTAATAAAACAAAAATATTAATGAAACTCCCTAAATTAACATCCATTTACACAGCCGAATTAACTGCTATTCTCAATGCAATAAATTTTGTGGTAGAAAATAGTATCAAAAACCCTGTCATTATTACGGATTCCCTAAGTTCTGTAATTGCCCTAAATAACTTATATCCTAGTCATCCAAGTCTACTACTTATTAAATCAGCATTAAGCCAACTGCAAACTATGAACATAAATGTCAACTTTGTATGGATTCCTTCCCATATTGGAATTGCTGGTAACGAAGAAGTAGATTCCTTGGCAAAACTAGCAATCTCGAGTCCGGAAGCTGTAGAAATCAGAAGCATTCCACATCTAGATATAAAACCTGTAATCAAGAACTTAATAATCAATGATTGGCAGACCAAGTGGAATCAATCAACATCCAAACTACGAGAAGTAAAACATTCCATATTACCTTGGAAATCAACCCCAAATAAGCGTAAACATCAAACCATCCTATCTCGTCTGAGAATAGGCCACACCGCCATCACCCATAAACATCTGCTAGAGAGTGAATTAAAACCAAAGTGCAACATATGTGATATTGTGCTCAGTGTTCGCCATATTTTACTGGAGTGTCCTTTATATCGCATGGAGAGACTTCAATATAAATTACAAGATACCTTACAGGCAATATTAAGTGACGGAACTGATATGAAAAATTTGACATCATACTTACATTCCATAAATGTACTAAATAAACTGTAAAACTCTAAATTGTACAACGCCAATGACCCTATGAGGTTGAGGCATAAATAAATAAAAAAAAAAAAAAAATTTAATTTAAATTCGTCAGAACTGAAGCCAAAAATTTAGTCAAATCATTTTTAAAAACGAAAAAAAAAACGTGAAGTTTTCGTCATTTAACAGCTCTTGAATGGTCAAATTGAATATCGTTTATGACAGAGGAACAACGTTTACTAATTTTAAACAATAATAATTGATGATAAAATTCACCATGATTCCTGCTATACCTAAGCTGCACTTGTGAACTATGCTTCTCCAAGTTAACATTGTTAAAACTAAATTTCAGTACATAAACGAAACAATACCGATTGGAAAATTTTATGATGTTCATACGCTGTTAATTTAGATCCTAATTTGATTGTAGCTGAATTCAAAAACATGGTTGCTTATATTCAGGATTATGTTCACGTTCGAAACTACTTTAATACTTGCGAATAAAATAAAAGTTTCAAAAAATAATATTTTTATGAATTTATTTTCTACATATTCTTAATTTTTACTGATACTATTTAACTTTAATTTTAAAATATTAGTCAAAAGAAAATTAACATAGAAAATTTTTAGTGTAAAAGTTAATTATTCTTATACAAATAAAAAAACGAATTATTGGGGCCATTAATACAATGATAAAAAACATCATTAATGAAAAAAGTCAATGACTTAAACTAGTAAGGTGCTCACTTACTGCCTGGGTACCCACACGAAAAAATCCTAAACACACCTTTGATATGAACATGTGCTCAAACTAATAGATAATTTGACTCAAAGTTTTAACCATAAATTATTTTTATTTACTTTGTTTTTCTTTACTTTGTTTCTCACTTTTATAACATTTAATTTTTTTTCAGGACTCTGTAATGGATGCCGGTGTTGAAAAAATAAATAATATATTAGAATCATTTATGGGTATTAACGATTCGGAATTAGCAACGCAAATATGGGAACTATCAGTGGGGAAACAGAATTCAATGGATTTCGCAGAATCTGTGGACGAATCTGACCTTGCTACGTTTGAATTCACCGATGAAATTATAATTGAACTCTGGGGGGCGATCACTGATGCAAGAGATGGAAGGTTAAAATAAAAATAAAAAAATCTATGTGCCAAGAACAAAATTTGTGTTTTAGACAAAATGTTGTTTACGACTTTAATAAACTTTTTTGTTAATTGAATATGTAATAGAGTATACTGTTTGTTAAGTTAAAAGTAATAAATAATTTTGGCAGAATGTGTAAGATTCAAATTAATATTATATTATGCCAGTCTTAGATCTATTTCATATTTTTATCATGTAAGTTTAATAATGTATAGTTTATTTTAAAACGTAAATTGTCAATAAAGTAATTATATTTGTTATGTAAGCTTATTAGTTATCTAGTTATGAAATTGTATAATAAGTTAAATGAGTGTTATTAACAAAAAGCAAATTAACTTCACATTTGTCTTCTACTTCTTAGAGATTTATTTCTCTGATAACCAGTGGCGCACCGAGAATTTTTCGGGGGGTGTTAGGTTGGGCACCAAAAATTTTTTTTGGGTCCTTAAACATATATATATATATATATATATATATATATATATATATATATATATATATATACACAGGATGAGTCACCACTAATGGGACGGAAGATTACAGCGAAACGGTAAAAAATTTTAAATGTATAGTGTGTAGGTTGATAAAGGCTACATTATTCTTATATCATTATTCTAATGATACATTATTCTTAAAATTATTCTAACATATACAGGATGTCACAATAAAGCGCGTCGTTTCAAAGTTATATTTTTTCTTATGGAACACCGTGTATTTTATTGGATTTTCTAATTGTCTGCAAAAAATAAGGTATAGTTTCATAAGACTTTCCTATATCTATGTACAGAGTGTTCTGAGTTATGTCGAATTTTCTTAAAATGTAAAACTTTAAACGAGGACTTTTAGAAAAATACGCTACCTGACAAGAGACTTCAGAGCCAGAACTTGGGCCATTGAAGATAACACTGGAACCCTGAGAACAAACAGAGAAGACATAGCAGAGACATGGAGATCATATTGCAGGGACCTATATAAAGATGATCAACGCCAAGAGCTTGTTAGCCAAATCTCTGACGAGGTGGAAGAAGAACCTGATATACTTGAAAATGAAGCAAGACAGGCTATCAACAAGCTCAAATATAACAAAGCACCAGGTCCAGATATGATAACAGCAGAAATGCTTAAAGCCACAGAAGAAACCGGCGTAAAGTTACTTCATCTACTTTGTAACCAAATATGGCATTCCAAACAATGGCCTGAAAACTGGACAAAATCTACAATAACGACCATACATAAAAAAAGCCAGCTTCCATAAATGCGACAATTATAGAACTATCTCTCGTATATCCCATGCCAGCAAGATAATGCTACATATAATCAATGAAAGACTGAAAACATTCCTTCAAAGAGAAATTCCACAAGAGCAAACTGGATTTACCAAAGGTAGAGGCACTCGAGAACACCTGCTGAATATAAGACAGATAATCGAGAAATCTGGGGAATTCAACATCCCACTATACATCTGTTTTATAGATTACCGTAAAGCGTTCGACAGGGTCAAGTGGAGACACTTATGGCGAATACTAAAAGAAGTAGGCGTACCACAACATCTAATTACGCTTATAACCGAACTATATGAACACACTACTGGATCAGTTAAAGTACTTGACACACTTTCGAACGAATTTCATCCATAACGGGGTGTCAGACAAGGATGTATACTATCTCCACAATTATTCAGCATATATGGGGAGTATATTGTGCGAAGAGCACTTGAAGGATGGGAAAAGGGCATCACAATAAATGGTCATAAACTAAACAACCTACGTTTCGCAGATGACACAGCCCTTCTTGCAAATCGTCAAGCAGAGCTGATAGAACTTATACGACAGATCGAAAACGAAAGTCAAATATTTGGTCTGCAATTAAACATATCAAAGACAAAGATCATGATAATGGATAGACTACACAACAATCATCCACATATAACCACACTTGACCGGTTCGAGGTTGTGAGCTCATACTTATATCTGGGATCATTAATCACAAACACAGGGTCATTACAAGAAGAGATTAAACGTAGATGTGATCTAGCAAAAGTTGCCACAGCAAAAATGACCAAAATATGGAAGGACTGTCAAATTTCAAGAGCGATAAAGATGAGGTTGATCAACTGCTTAATATTCCCAATACTGACCTACGGATGTGAATCTTGGACTCTGAGACAATCGGAGAGAAGAAAAATAGACGCCACTGAAATGTTCTGTTGGAGACGAATGTTACGAATTCCTTGGACCGACCGTAGAACAAATAATTCAATTTTAAGAGAGCTAAAAGTTAGCCAACGACTCTCTAGTAAAGTCCATCTCCAACAATTAAAATATTTTGGGCATATGAGAGCAAACACAGAAAACATGGAAAGACTCATAATACAAGAAAAGGTAGAAGGCCGAAGATCACGAGGAAGATCCCCAACAAGATGGATAGATCAAATTACAGGAATATGCCAAAGACCTATGCATGAATTAAAAGAAATGACCAGAGACAGAGATCTCTGGAGACGGACAATACACGACATCACGTCGACCACTACACTCCCGCTGGGGGGTCAGGATTGAAGAGAGAGAGAGAGAAACGAGGACTCATTCTTAATTTATTTAAGCAATTCTGATAAAATTACTCATACATCTAAATAGCTGGATATTGGTAGAATGTCTTTCATGATTAATTATTAAACATATACGGATGTCCTATACCTAGGACTGATAGTTTTGCCGTATTTTAAAATTTTATTAAACGGAAATTGATTTCAAGTATTTATAATTATTGTTACTCTCGATTTGTAAACCCATCATATTGACATATTGTTATAAATGAAACCAATGTAGTTGTAAATACATTTTTTGTAAAAAAATTAAAATTTTTATGCCTTTGGATTTGTATTCGTTAGGTATAGGATAATTAGTATTAAAATATGATGAAAAGAAAATAAAATTTCTTTTTTTTGAAAATCTGATGTTTTTTAAATTTTCTACGATTCATCAAGTGACAGGCAACTGCACAAAGGTTACAGTTTTCAAAAATGTCGTAGATATTAACGTTATGTTTAATTTTTTGTATTCTTTTAAGTATTAAAATAAGTTTAATATTTAAATAAAAATAAAACTATAAAATATATGTATTTCGTTGAATTCATAATAATAATAATAATAACTTTCGACGCCAGCTACTCATAACAACAATGCTGGATGGATTGAAGACACGGCGAACAATTGTCAACACTACAGGAATATTCCTTATGCACCTTTCACCGCTGAAGAAGTCTTGAACATCATCAAAGAGCTTCATAACTGGAAATCTCCTGGACCAGACGGAGTTCAAAACTTCTGGTTAAAGAAGTTTTGGAGTGTTCATGAGCTTTTAACAGTATTTATTAATAATATTATTTCTAATTCACAGGAAATACCATCATTTCTTACTCAGGGAACCACTTATCTAATACCGAAAGATCAAAATAGCACCCAAGATCAAGCCAAGTACCGCTAAATTACTTGTTTTCTAACTTTGTACAAATTGGTCACATCCTGTGTAGCCCGGCGTATCTACCAACACTGTGCTCTAAACAATATCATAGAGCCTCAACAGAAAGGACGCGCTAAGGGCTCCATGGGCTGCAAAGAACAACTTATTATCAACTCAGTCATTTCTAACCAGGCATACACCAAAAAAAGAAACCTTTTTACTGTATTCATTGACTACAAGAAGGCTTTTGACGCAGTGCCGCATGCATGGCTTATAGATATATTGAAAATATATAAAGTCGATGATAATCTCGTGACCTTTTTGAAGCATATAATGACAAAGTGGAAGACTAAAATTCACCTTCAAATACCTGGTGAAACCAATATCGAAACTGAAGATATCGCTATTAACCGGGGCCTTTTCCAGGGGGACCCGTTGAGTCCACTTTGGTTCTGCCTAGCGATGAACCCACTATCTCAGCTGCTGAACTCCACTGACTCAGGATTTAGCATCAAAAATAACAACACTGTTGTGGAGAAGCTTAATCATCTGTTGTATATGGATGATTTGAAGTTAATGGCTTCCACTCGAAACGACCTAGATCAGATGCTAAAAACTGTAGAAACTTTCTCAAATGACATCAGTATGCATTTTGGACTAGACAAGTGCCGTATACTAAATATAGTCAGAGGAAAGGTCCAGCCCGGAGTTTTCGATATGCAAGATGGCCAAAACATCGAGGCAATGGGTGAAAATGATATTTACAAATATCTCGAAGTAAAACAGGCGCGGAAAATTGACCATAAACAGATGAAAACTGAACTAACTTCGGAGTTCGTGCGAAGAGTAAGACAACTAAATCGGTCATATCTTAATAGTAAAAATTTGTTTAAGGCATAAAAATACGTACGCCTGTTCCGCGCTGAGCTACTCATTTGGTATTATAAAGTGGTCAAAACGGATATAGAGGGTCTTCAGCGGAAAGTAATAACACTTCTCACAAAGGCGCAAAAACATCATCCACGCAGTGCTGTAGAGAGAACAACATTGCCGCGGTATCAAGGAGGAAGAGGACTTATGGATATAGGTGAGCAATTAGATAAAGAAATTGCTAATTTAAGAACTTATTTTCAGGTACAGGCTGAGACATCTACTTTACATCGAGTAATTTGCGCAGTAGATAACACAACGCCGCTTAAACTGAGGGAACAAGAAATGCGCATAAACCAACTGACTAAGCAAGAAAAAATGCGCACCTGGATGAGTAAACCTCTGCATGGGCGACATCTCAATAAGACCAGCCAAGAATATGTCGACAATACAGCGTCGAACTATTGGTTGACATCAGGAATGATGTTTCTCGAAACTGAGGGTTTCCTACTTGCCATTCAGGATCAGGTAATTCCAACTAAAAATTACCTAATAAGGATTAGGATGTTTATTCTAGAATGTCTATAATGTTTATTTAAGAATAGAAATGTGTTCTATTCTTAAACATCCTAATACCTAATTAGGATGTTTAAGAATAGAACACATTTCTAAGAACTGTCTTTTACCAAGATTGCGCTCAGTGCCAAGAATTTTGACTTCATTGAAATTCACCTTATGTTTGGTGTTAATTGCGTGTTGCGCTAACGCACATGTGTGCTTAGACAGATTAATGTCACTTCGATGCGAAGTAAGACGTCCTTTTAGTGATCTTCCAGTTTGACCAATATAACAAGCGTTACACTCAGCACAAGGTAAGTAGTATATAGTGTTAACTTGTTCCAAAGTGGACAAGGGTGTTTTAGTTTTAGAAAACAAATTTCTAACAGTCTTAGCATTCTTAACTGCAATTTTAACTGGTATGTTATTCTGTTTATACAGTTTAATAAGCTTCTCAGTAACTTGAGGAAAATAAGGCAGAGATGAATAATGGGTGGTAGGATTCTCAAGATCAGCATTAGGCAGAACAATGCTATTAACTGAATTATTTGAAATGGTTCTAAGTTGGTCACCATTGGGTATATCATCAAAAGAGGATCCATAACTTTGAGAATATAGGTATTTATTTATGATGGAGGATGGATATGAATTTTCAATTAGAATATTTCTTAATAACTTAAGGGATTCCCTTCGATTAATCGGATGTTTCAATTTATGTAATCTGCAACTAAGTGCTTTAATAAGGTTCAATTTATATTTCATAGGGTGACAGGAATGGTAATTAAGGAACCTATTGGAGGCCATTGGTTTTCTATACCAACTTGTGGTGAGGGTGTTATCTCCCATTCTGATGACACGCATGTCTAAAAAGGGGATACTATTTGTGACAGTGTCCTCAAGTTCAACAGTGAACTGTAAATGAGGATCAAATTCATTGAAAAATGATAAGGTACCCTGAACCTTGTCAGGTGACCCTATGTCATATTATATATATATATATATATATATATATATATATATATATATATATATATATATATATATATATATATATATATATATATATATTGTTTATCGAGTTTAAACCATGTCTCATTCAACAAGGTAACGTCAATATCATTTTCATTTAAAAAATGTGTTAAACTGTTTTTTGCGACAGCAGAGATCTACAAGTACATTGTTAAATTTATTTAAGACAGAGAAAATTATTATTATACCCTCCAATACAAAAGTAATTTCATGATTTATTATTTCATTATCTAAAGATTTTAAATCGTCTAATGTACGTATATTTAAAAAAAAAACTAATAACAAAATTAGTCACAGCTCGAGCGGTTCTACCTTTCTCCACTGCGAGAAGCGGAACGGGGTGGATTAGCAAGTAGTGGGATAAAACTGAAAACTTATTTTGGCCTAGAGCTTCTGAGTACGAGTTTTCATTAATTTCCTTGTAATCTATAAAAGAAATTTTATTTTTGATCATATTTTTAATTTTTTGTTGTCTTTGGTAAGGGCAGATTTTTGAAACCGAAACATGCTTATAAATCTTACAATGAATGAAAATCTTAATTTCTGAATTTTCGCAATAGTGATTTATTTATTGGCTCCACAACGAATACATAGATTTTGAGAACTTCTACACTGTTTTGAAATGTGGCCGTACCGCAAGCACCTGTAACACTGAGTAATCCTACCTACAAATTGTTCGACTGGACAAAAAATAAATTTATAATAACATACTGAGGCAGAATATTATCTTCAAAAGCTACAATAACAGTGCGTTTTGCAACATACTCAATTGTACCATTTTTTTTTCAACTTTTGTATGTATTCGTTTAATATTTAAGATACGTGAAGTAAGGATATTCAATATTTTCGCGTAAATATACAGTATCAAATTGAGTATCAATATCCCGAATTAAACCCTTGCTCTCTAATAAGTGACCCGGAATAAAAGCTTTTAAATTTTCTTTCTTTAGTTCACTATTATTATAATACTCTTTGCATCATGAACAGAAGCTAAAGCCAGCTTAATTATGTTCCTACCTATTTCCCTTACTTGACGAATATTAGAAATTCATAGTTTCTTGTACAAAATATGGCTTATTGTAATTAAGGTACTTAAAGGCACTTTTGTCCTCGAGTCAATGCCGTTCCTTATAGGGGAAAGTAACAAATTTTTAAGCACTATGCTAGTATGGTTTTATTAAGAACTACAATTTAAAAAAACTAGCTAAATAAAATTAGTATTAAATTACGCGGTACTGCTTTAAATCCAACGAATTAAACTTTAAAATGCAGAGTACTTAAAAATGCGTATCCAGACTTCGGCAGATATTTGACAATATTGTAGCGCCCCTTGTAGACAATATATTTAAGAATCATGTTTTGTAGACAATACAGGGAAAGATGCGGAAAGATTAAAAAATACATGTTTGTGACAGATATGTCTTTTATCGGAGTGTGTTGATAGGTCAATGAAGAGATTTTAGGAAATGGTATGAAAGAAAACGAGAGGTTTGTAAACGAGTTCGATATGAGATTTTAGAGAAAAACGTTGTTTTGATTTCCTTCGTAAAGTTAATAAAGAAAAATAAATTTTGGTGTTTTTGCCGGTTTGATAAAAAGTAAATAGTGGGAAAGTCATTAAGTTTTTGTGGCAGCAGCCAACCAGTGCAAAGCAGAGATTTTCAAACAAATTGTAAGTTTTTTTAAATACAACAAATTATCTGAGGCGAGGCTGTCGATTTTTTTAAGAGGCTACCGGATTTGGTGAGTTTTAAGCTGCATTTGATTGCCAATATTGTATTTCGATAAGAGATCGACCCAGGAGGAGACTATTTTAAGCTAGGAGAAGTAAAATTTTATTAAGAAGAAGCCCTGCCAATTTGTAGATTAAATTTTGATTTACAATTTTTAAAAGACAGTCATAGGGAAATAGTTTTAAATTATCTGTCTCTGAAATAATGATAATAATAATTTATTCCATACTAATTATTGGGCTTTCTGAACGCTTTCATAATGAAAAAT